GTGCTAGCGTCTCTCTAGTGTTGTGCAACAAGAGCATTTTCGTGGATTCCACATTTTGGCTCATCCTTGGTTGCCCAACCCCACTTATCTTTTTGCGTGTGTGTTTCCGTCTACCTTATATACTTGGTCTACTTGTTACATTGCATCTTGCGAATCTTTTCCAACATTATTGAAGCTCACTTACAATTGCATCAAATTTTGTGCCACCATCCTAACCAAGCTCCACCATAAGCTTTTACTTGTGTAGGTGTGAGAAACCGACAAGAGATAGTACCAATTGTGTTATTTCCTTGTCCTACATTGGAGTGATCATCGATCCACTTTCAACTTCGGTCAAGATACATTTGGTATTCGTTCTTCTCTTTCTACCACTCACATTGTGTATCTTGGAATGATGGATAGGCCAAGTGCTTCTACCAACCCACTCTTCATTGAGCACGACGATGACATGAACTCCTACGTCACCAAGAGTCACCTCTTTGGTGCACAACGTGCTTTGCATCAAGAGCAACAAGCCATGAGTGAACTCATCGACAACCTCGCCGCCGACTTACGACTCTCCGAGCAACGTACAAGGGACTACTTCGACCACAAGCTAGACGATCACAAGCAAGAGAATGACGCAAGGATGGACGAAATTCGCGCTTTCTTGCTCAACCGCTCTTCTTCCACTTCGTCTTCATCAAGAAGGACCCGCTCAAGTCGACATTCCGACTTCACCCTCTCCGGCTCAAGTACACCGACATCGAACACTCTACGCCGTGCCGCGCGCAACGAACATCAAGCAAGCCTCAATCCCCTACGCGACACCGACTCTCAAGAGCCCGACAACGTCAAACTCAAGAGGCCTTTGCGCTAGCACGAGAACAGCAACGACAACGCCAACATGAAGAGGAAGAGCGAGCGCGTTAATACCAAGTTGCACAAGATGCCAAGGCACAACGCCAAGAAGAACAACTCCGTGAAGCTCAAGCACTTGCGGCGCAACAAGCCCTCCAAGATTCAAGTAGAGCCGTAGCCAACCGAGGCCGACAAGCTCGAGAACAAGAAGAAGCATTTCGCGAAGAAATTCAAGAACGGGGATTTCAAGCTCGCGTGCATCGTCAAGTTCCTCAAGCTCCTCCACAAGCTCGCCAAGAACACCAAGTTCATCAAAAGCATGAAGACAATGGAAATCCTCCACGACAAGAGCAACATGAGGTTGACAACCCTCCTCACCAAGAGCGACACGAGCTTGACAACCATCTACAACATGGGCGTCATCATCCCCGACCCCAACACAATGAAGAGCAACGCTATGGCAAGCTCAAGTTCACCATGCCCAAGTTCAACGGAAGCAACGATCCCGAAGAGTACCTTTCATGGGCATTGAAGGTCGACAAAATCTTCCGTTTGCACAACTATGAAGAAGAGAAGAAGATCGCGATGGCATCCCTTGAGTTCCAAGACTATGTCCTCATTTGGTGGGAACAAGTTATCGAGCGCCGAGAGGCAAGAGGTGAACCACCCATCACTACTTGGGCGCAAATGAAGGATGTCATGAGAGCACGCTTCGTGCCTACCTACTACAACCGCGACCTCTTCAAGAAACTCCAACTACTCAAGCAAGGAACCAAAAGCGTTGAAGAGTACTGCAAGGAAATGGAGATTGCAATGATAAGAGCCAATGTCACGGAAGATGATGAGCAAATTATGGCACGTTTCTTGAATGGACTCAACCATCCTATCAAGAAGATCGCCGACTTCCAACCATACTCGAACCTCATCGAGCTAGTGCATTAAGCTACCAAAGCGGAACGCCAAGTGCAAGATGATTTCAAGTATGCCAAGTTCTCTTCCAAGACATACGGTTTCTCCAACAACCAAGCTTCAACGACTCCAACGCCGTCTACCAAGCCTTCTACTAGCAACATCGACAAGTCGAGTTCCAAGAAAGCTTCGTCAACTCCAAGTCATCCTCCTACGACGAGCAACTTCAAGCCAAGAGCTTCATCATCATCCACTCCAACCGATGAGACCGTCAAGACAAGTTCCTTCAAATGCTTCACATGCGGAGGCCGAGGCCACAAGTCCTATGAGTGCACCAACAAGCGGACCATGATCCTCAACGACGACGGCACTTATGACTCAATGAGTGAAGAAGAAATGGACGCCATCGAGCAAGTCGCCATGCACCGGCAAGTGAACGATGAAGAGGAACAAGTCTTTTGCGATGAAGATTCAAGTCCCGCCCTTGTTGTCTTCAAAGTCTTGACTCTCCAACATCACCAAGAAGAAGACCAACGATGCCACATATTCCACACCAAGGCCGGCATCAATGGACGATCCGTCAAGGTCATCATCGATGGAGGGAGTTGTCATAATCTCGCAAGTGAAGAACTTTGCTCCAAACTCCAATTGCCCAAGACGAAGCATCCACATCCATACAAAGTGCAATGGCTTAGCGACTCCGGCACCATCCAAGTCGAGCACCGAGTACAAGTCTCCTTCAAAATTGGCGCCTACGAAGACACCTTGGAGTGCGACGTCGTTCCAATGACCGTTTGCCATCTTCTTCTTGGACGCCCATGGCAATTTGATAGAGGAGTCATCCACAACGGCCGAACGAACCACTACATCTTCAAGATGAAGGGCAAGGAGTACGTCCTCCGTCCAATGTCACCAAGCCAAGTGATCGCCAGCAAGCAAGCCACCCATCGTGGAGATCATAGTGAGGGAGCGAGCCACCAAAAAGAGAGTGAGTGCCACAAGCCCAAATCGAACACCTCCACGATGAGCGAAAAGAAGAACTTAGTCCTATTTGCCACCAAAAGTGAGATAAGAGGAGTGTGTGAGCACCCATCTAGTGTCCTACACTACGTCCTCGTGTGCAAGGACAATGCACCACAAACTAACACTTCTCACACCCTTCCTCTAGTGTTGTCTTCTTTTTTGCAGGAATTTCATGATGTTTTCCCCGACGAGCTACCTCCGGGACTACCTCCACTACGAGGCATTGAACACCGCATCGACCTCATTCCTGGAGCACCGCTTCCGAACAAAGCTCCCTACCGCGTCAACCCCGAAGAAACCAAAGAAATACAAAGGCAAGTAAAGCATCTCATAGACCATGGACATGTGCGTGAAAGTTTGAGCCCTTGTGCCGTCCCGGTCATTCTTGTGCCAAAACGAGACGGTAGCTTTCGCATGTGCTCCGATTGTAGACCTATCAATGCTATCACCGTTCGTTATAGGTATCCCATTCAACGCCTTGACGATATGCTTGATGAACTTAGTGGTGCCACTATATTTTCCAAAATTGATCTTAAGAGTGGTTACTATCAAATCCGCATACAAGAGGGTGATGAATGGAAAACCGCTTTCAAAACCAAGTTTGGGTTGTATGAGTGGCTAGTCATGCCTATGGGTCTATCGGAAGCACCGGGTACTTTTATGTGTCTTATGAATCATGTCTTTCACCCTTACATTGGTATATTTGTTGTGGTCTACTTTGATGATATCCTTGTTTATAGCAAATCTCTTCGAGATCATGTCACCCACTCCCCCCGCCGCCCCCCTCCTTCGGAGCCGAATTAGCTTATGATGCTTGATGCTCGATTTTGGGGATTGTTGTGTTGCTCCCCCAGCAAGACTTATGTATCTCGTACTTGTGTGTGTGTGCGTGTTCGGGCCGGTCTCCGGATCCTTGCTACTGTTACTTTGTGTTGTGGTCGTTGCTTTATAATATAAAGCGGGGGTAACCCTTTTTCGTCAGATTGTGGGTTTTCATCCGGAGTACACACATTGTTGTTATTGAATCCATCCGCATGCCTGGAGCACCATCAAGCCCTTGAGGACGATATTGGGCGGTGGCTCCATGCGTGCCTCCGGCAAGCTCGCAAAGGCGGTGCCATGCCCTGAGATTAGCCCGCCTTGCTACTCCTTACGTACCGGTTCCGGCATCACAAACATAGCGGGCGCAGCAATCCTGCAGGTTACAACGCCACTGTCCCCCGTAGTAGTCGCTGTTAGCATAGCTCTTGGTCCCACCCCATGGCGCCACTCCTCCGCCCAAGTGTTGCGGTAGGTGGTGTGCCAGGCCCAACAAAGACACTCATCCCCTGAATCCGGCCATCGCAGAACTACCCCTTAAAGGTGGCCTGACGGCCAAGAGAACCGGCCCTTGCCGGACGACTTCCCACGCTACCACACCCCTCCCCCCGTGCAAAGCCCTGTTGACTCGCAAGCACTTGCCCTTTCCTTGTGGCGCGCCACCGGTGAAACCACCATTGTAGAAAGGGGAGATCCAGCTGCAAGACAGTACTGAGTCACTGCTAGCGGCTCGGGAGGTGGGGGCACGAGAGCACCGCTAGCGTTGCCATGGGACGATGCGGGGGTGATCCGGCTTTTCCAGGTCGGCTGGTTTCATCTCCCAATGCAGCATTAATGCCACATTTCAAGGGAGGGAACGTCAAATATGCATCCTAGAGAAGAATCGGGCTTGGTAGACTTGAACTGTGGGCTAGACAATCATAGGCTTGTGGCCTAAACCGATGATTGCAAAAGGGGGAAGTAGCAGCACAGGAAGGCGGCAAGCAGCACAGAATGGCCTTGGCTTTCTCCTCCCCAAGCTCACTATGTACACAATACCCTCTCTGTTCTTCTAATCCCCCTAACTCAATTCTCCATTCCAGCGTCAATCTCTGTTGTTCTCCTGTATTGATACTTTCGGACTACAAGATCAAACCAAATTCTAGCACAGGCCTTCCAAACAGTATCAGTGCAACACTCAACATAACAAAAGACTCACATGATCAAATCATGTCCTTAAAACAAGGTGCATCCCTTTCCTATTAAAAATGTTTCAGTTATTTTCACATGTCCAGTCCCAGTCCAGGAAACCATCTTTCCAACAAAGGGTTTGAAGAATCTCAATAATAAATGGGATTAAAACTTCTCCTAGGAAAAACATCTGTGTACACTAGAATAACAAACAGAAACGAGTAAACAAGATAATGAACCTGAAGATAGGAATGCGGCATCCTGGTAAGTACAGTCCTCTTGCGGAAGGACGATTTTCCGAAGGGCAGCATTCCCACGGTCAATGACCAACAGAGAGCACATTTTCTTCACATATACAACATCAAAATCAGTAGAGAACTTTGCATCTTCACTGGGACCATCCCTATACCCTGGGATATTGGATTTTCCACCAGCAATAGTGGTCACCCCTACACAGAAATTTCAACCACCAACTGTTAAAGCAAAACAAATGGATGACCTTGTACTATTAAACTATTAGCTTACCTGACTCGCCAATCTTTCGAATTGCCAGATTTGCTGTATCAGCAATGTAAACATTTCCTGTATCATCCACAGCAACACCAGTGGGGCGTTTGAATCTTGCATCAATAGGTTTACCATCGATATGACCTGCATGCCCCTGGAAAGAACCAGCAACTAGCCTTCCCCTGCTATCTGCAGAGATTGTAATATCATTCCCATTAGCCAAACTATTGGAACTATGCTTACAACATACTCCCTCCGTTCCAAAATAGATGACCCAACTTTATACTAAAGTCAGTACAAAGTTGGGTCATCTATTTTGGAACAGAGGGAGTATAAATTATATTCATTTAGGCACATGTGCATGCTCTTAGTTAATTTGTACATCAAAGTGCATTTCATACTACTTGAACAGACGAGACCAATTTCTTCAAGGATGCCCTAAATCCAGTTGCAATAAGGTACTCTTTGGTGACAGTAAGTCAAGCATCGCCACTTAAGAGGAAATATTAGAAAAAAATTGTGCTAGTTATAGGTGCTAGGAAAGCAACTTGTATTCCCATGAGGGCATAGGCCGATATATATACATGTACAGATGTGAAACATATGCAGGAAACCCCTTATACAACGGGATAAATACAAAGGGGTACATGACTTATAATATAACTCTAACACCCCCCCTCAAACTCATGGTGGATGAACAACACTGAGTTTGGAGAGATAAAAGCCATGTTGTGCTCTAGTCTGGGCCTTCGTGAGGAAATCCGCCAATTGTAACTCGGAAGGCACATACTGAAGAGCAATAACCTGATCCTGCACACCAGCACGTACATAGAAAGCATCAACACCAATATGCTTGGTGAGCTCATGCTTCACAGGATCGCGCGCAATGCTAATAGCACCTGTACTGTCAGATAAGAGCGGAGTCGGTGTAGTGACAGAAACACCAAAATCCTGAAGTAACCACCGTAACCAAGTCACCTCTGCCGTCGAAAGAGCCATTGCTCGCAACTCAGCCTCGGCACCCGAACGGGAAACTGCAATCTGTTTCTTCGTCTTCCAGGCAATGAGAGAACCACCAAGAAAAACACAGTAAGCAGAAAGTGAACGGCGATCAGAAGGATCACTAGCCCACGTAGCATCCGAATAAGCCTGAAGCTGTAAAGAACTGGAGCGAGGAAAGAATAGACGGTGAGAGATTGTGCCCCGAAGATATCGGAGAACACGAAGGAGATGACTATAGTGGACCGATGTGGGAGCGGAGACGAACTGACTCAGAATATGAACCGGATAAGAGATATCCGGACGAGTGACAGCTAGATAGACAAGACTGCCAACAAGATGACGATAACGCGTCGGGTCAGGGAGGGGATCACCATCAGTAGCACGGAGGTGAACATTGAGCTCCATAGGAGTCTCAACAATGCGTTCGTCAGTAAGAGCAGCACGAGCAAGAAGATCCTGGATATACGTTTCCTGGGATATAAAAAAGCCATCAAAGGTAGAAGGGACTTCAATCCCAAGAAAGTAGCGAAGAGGGCCAAGATCAGACATAAGAAACTGCTCACTAAGACGGGCCTTTACAAAGGCAATATACTCGGGGTCATCCCCAGTGATGACCATGTCATCAACATAGAGAAGAGTCCGACCACGAGGAGAAAGGTGAATAAACAATGCTGGATCATGAGCACTTGCTGAAAAACCAGCAGCAGTGACCACAGAGGCAAAACGCTCAAACCAGGCACGGGGGGCTTGCTTAAGGCCATAGAGAGAGCGACGAAGACGACAGACCATGCCATCAGGAACAGAATACCCAGGTGGTAGCTGCATGTACACCTCCTCACGCAGCTCACCATTAAGAAAAGCATTCTTAACATCAAACTGAGATATAGACCAGTGGCGTGCAGAGGCAACGGCAAGAAGTGTACGAACAGTGGTCATATGGGCCACAGGAGCAAAAGTCTCATCATAATCACGACCATGCTCCTGCTGAAAACCACGAGCCACAAGACGAGCTTTGTGACGCTCAAGAGAACCATCAAAGCGAGTCTTAACCTTGTAGACCCACTTACAAGTGATGGGACGGACTCCGGGGGGAAGGGAAACAAGATCCCAGGTACCAGTGCGTTCAAGAGCAGCAATCTCCTCTGCCATCGCAAACTGCCATTCAGGATGAACAACAGCCTGACGATAAGAAGTCGGCTTAAGAACAGCAGCACCAGCGATGGGAAATCCAAAGCGATCAACAGGCGGACGAGGACGAGAACGCAAGCCATAAGTAGGCTGAGAGGAAGATGACGACACATCCACGGAGGCATCCACAGGACGTGAACGACGAGTGTAATACTGAGGAAAAGATGGAACAATAGAAGGAGGAATTGCCAAGGTAGAATCGAGGGGTGGCGACGAAGAAGTCGCCGGAGATGAAGGTGTAGAATCCGGTGACATGCTAGACGAGGAGACCGTGGAAGATGGTGGCAGCAAATCGACTAGAGGTGGGGAAGCAGAGGGAGCGGAACAAATAGGCACAGGCTCGACGGGGGTGATAGGTGAGTCAGGAAAAGTGAGGAAAGAGATATCCTCCACTGAAAAGGTCGAGGAAGATGGGCGTGGGTAGAAGGGACGAGACTCATCAAAAGTCACGTCTCAAGAGATACGATCCGACGACCGATAGGATCCCAACAACGATAGCCCTTATGCTCATCATTGTAGCCTAAGAAGACACACTCAACAGACTGAGCGGTCAGTTTGGTGCGTTCGCGAGGAACAAGAAGAACATAGCAAACACAACCAAACAAGCGAAGCATCGAATAATCGGGAGAACGATCAAAAAGACGCTCGAAAGGAACACCACCCTGTAGAGCAGCGGAAGGCTGGAGATTGATAAGATAGGTGAAGGTGGAGACGGCCTCAGCCCAAAAATGAGGCGGGAGAGAGGCAGCAATCAGCAATGCACGAGCCGTCTCAAGAAGATGGCGATGCTTTCGCTCAGCCACACCATTCTGAGCATGAGCACCAGGACAAGAGAATTGAGAGAGAGTGCCTTCCTCAGCAAGAACACCACGCAACATCTTAGAGATATACTCGCTAGCAAAGTCAGCACGAAAAACACGAATGGGTGAAGAGAACTGAGTATGAACCATGGCAGCAAAACGCTTATAAATAGACAACACCTCACTACGAGAAGTCATGAAATAAAGCCATGTGTAACGAGAGAAGTCATCTATGAAAATAATGTAGTATTTATGACCACCTTTCGAAGCGAAAGGAGTCGGACCCCATACATCAGAATGGACTAAATCAAAAAGACGCTTAGACACTGACTCACTATGTGAATATGGTAATTGAACCTGCTTGCCAAGACGACAACCCTGACACTCTAAAGAGACATCTCCTGAGACAGACCCCAGAAGGCCTCGACAAACTAAAGACGACAACCGAGAGCCACACAGATGACCAAGTCGATGATGCCACTGCTTGAAGGAACCAGTAACAGAGGCGACTGAAGCGGAGGAACTGGCGATAGTGGTGGCAGCAGAAGGAACATGAAGCCAGTCCAACTCCCAAAGACCCTGAGAATCACGGCGGCAAGGGCCAGCCCCAACCAGAGTGTGCGTGCGACGGTCCTGGACAGAACAAGAGTCAACGTCAAGGATGACGCAACAACCAGAATCAGTAAGTTGACCAGCAGAAAATAGATCATGGTAAGTCGAGCAACATCAGGAACAGAGTAAGAAGGAGTGGTAAGAGTGCCTCTACTAACGACAGAAAGTGGAGTACCATCAGCAGTGAGGACATGAACAGGAGAATCCAGCGAGCGAAGAGAGGACAAAATGGAAGAATGAGAAGACATATGAAAAGAAGCTCCAGAGTCCAGAACCCATGGGGATGTACCTGACTGTGTAGAGGGTGATTGCTCAGTGCGGGAAGCATCAGTCACAGAACCAGCAATACCCGTCGAAGAAGAACCTGAAGCCGCGAGCAGACGCTTAAGTCTCAGAATATCCTGCTCAGTCAAAGCAATGGCTGAAGTTGTCGAGGTGGATGACGAAGTCCCTGAAGATGATGATCGCGCCTTGCGCAGGTGTTTCTTCTTCGTGTAGCACTGAGACTCAAGATGACCATCATTGTTACAGTAGTCGCAATGTGGACGGGGGCGACCTGAGCCTCCAGAAGGAGTGGGCAAGAGCGGCGGTGCACTCGAGCGAGAAGGGGTCGGTGCAGCAGGTGGCGTAGGAGCCGAGTAGCGAGCACAGAGGGAACCTCCAGCAAACCAGCACCACGTAAGCGAGTCTCCTCAGCACGAATCTCAGAAAGCGCCTCCATGAGAGAAATACGGCCGCGAGCAAACAACTGAGCATGCCGGGGCTCAAACTCCTTACGGAGCCGAGACAGGAACTCATAGACGCGATGAAACTCCAAATTGGCCTGGACAGCCTGGCAACAAGGGCAGGTACGACAACCAGCACTGCGGAGAGAATCAAGCTGGCGCCAGATAGCAGAATTTTGTGCATAGAAGTCATCAACAGTAGAGTCACCCTGCTGAAAAGCATGCTCCTGACGGACCACAGAAAGGTATAAGGCATCACCAGAGGGCTGATAGCGCTGACCTATGTTTTTAAGGCGACGCCTTACCGCCTTAGGGAGGGGGGGCGCTTTGGCGCCTAGGCGACGCCTAGGCGGGCACTTTGGACGCCTAGGCGCCCAAAGCGGTCGATTTTCCAAAGCGGAGGGGGAGCGCTTCGACGCCTAGGCGTCGCCTAGGCGTCGCCTTAGGGACGCCTTTAAAACATAGGCGCTGACGAAGACAGGTCCACATCTCAAGACAATAGGAAGACCCAGAAACTCAGAAGCAAACTGAGGCAGAACACTAGCAGTGAGAACAGCTGCAGCACGAGCATCATCATCAAGCCACTGGGTGTAAGCAGACAGAGCACCATGATAAATCTGAAGAGCCTCCTCATAAGCCAAAACCTTCTCATCATAAGCACGATCAGCAGCCTCATCAGCAAGCTTAGCCGCATCCTTGGCGGCCTGATTAGCATCAGGAGCAAGAACCAGTGGAGTCGGCGGAGTAGGGGCCACCGGAGGAACCGGACGTGGCGGATAGCAGACCTCACCAGAAAGAACACCCCAGAGACGGATGCCACGCATGTGAATGCGCATAAAGCCAGTGAACTCGGTGTAGTTAGTACCATCGAAAATCACCGGACAGCGAGGGACAGCAACATAGCCAGATGCAGCAGACATTTTTTTAGGAAACAAGTACGAGACGATCCCGACGAGAACCGCAGACAGCCGTCGCTAGCAGCAGGGGACGGCTGCAGGAAAATCGGCGCTGGCACCCAGGCTGCCGCCGGGAGTGCTGGATCGCAGGAAAGGCAGGCGCGGCTGGATCCAGAGAAAGGCTAGGCGCGGCTTGGACTCTGGCGACTGGATCGGGCTCTGGCGACTGGATCAGGCAGCCCTGGCGACTGGAGGAATCGGGAGGAGGCGAGCGCCCCTGGCGACTAGAGGAATCGGGAGCCCTGGGGATCAGGCACCCCTGGCGTGCTGGAGGACCTAGCAATGGGAGGAACCGGGCGCCCCTGGCGGCTGGAGAAGTTCGAGCGCGCTGGAGCAGGAGGGAGATCGACGAGGGCGTGGATCGATAGGAGCACGAGTTGCGCGTGCGAAAAAAAAAACCTAAAGCTCTAATACCATGTTAGGAAAGCAACTTGTATTCCCATGAGGCCATAGGCCGATATATATACATGTACAGATGTGAAACATATGCAGGAAACCCCTTATACAACAGGATAAATACAAAGGGGTACATGACTTATAATATAACTCTAACAATAGGATCTCACCTTTGTTAGCTACCGGACAAATCTATAAAGGTCAGGAGTTTAAACATATTTCCTTGTAACTAAAGTTTGTAAGCAATATAAATAAAATGTGGCCCCGCGCGGTTAGATACGTTTCCACAGATCCTTGACATCATCACAATTTGCATACTTCTTGGTTACTTTGGATAATCCACTGATATGTTCAAGAAATTGGTCCAAAAGTTGCATCTGGTAGTTTGTGTTTTTCTTTAAAAAGATGACATGGTCCACTATGAGGATAATCATGGCCATTCTTCAGAAAGCCCAACTGATTTCATACCATACAGAAGCCCCACTAAATGTGCACAGAAGTACTTGAAGAGAACCATATAAGCATTGAACTGTGGACAGCAAGAGAAAAACATACATTCAGATAATGGTGGGGTTATTCGCACAATGTTGCTATGTGCTGAGTCTACTGCAAGAAGCTCTCCACCCTCAACTGAGGACACCCTAATGGTGTGGGGCGTGACACCGAGCTTGTCTCCTTCAACAAGCGTCTCAACAAAGTAGCCACTCTCATATTGCACTGCTACATTCCCATCTGCCAAATCAGATAAATACCATAACCATGAGATTAAGCTCAAGCAAGAACAAAAAATATCATCAGCCACTATAACCCACATTCACCAGCTGTGACTGCAAACGAGTTAAACCTGAATCAGTTTAACTCTTGCCAGATAATTCAGGTCAGGCCTAGAATGAGGACTAAACATGAGCATAAATCTGGGCTTAAGAGTTTCACATGTCATCGAGACAAACAAATATTAGGAAATGTTCAAAATGTTTGACCCATATGAGAATATTATGGTTAGTACAGCTGCTCCTGTTTTATTCCTATCTTTCATTTATTGATGAGAAAAAATCAATATATGTGTGCCAAGAATGAAAAGATGTTTACTACGTACATCACAAAGATACAAACAAATTCATTTTGCACAGCTTTCAAACTGAGTGACCCTACAATCAAAGAGGAAATATTAGGTCGCCGTACTGGTTTGTTGAAAAAACCGAGCCATGCCAGAGATGAGAGTAAAATGACAAGACTAAAACATGCTATTTGCTAAAGAGCTATGAACTTTACAAGAACAACCTGACAATATTTATGCAAAGGCCTGTATAATATAGAAAAAGGAGATGAGATCTAGAGAAATAATTAGCTTCTGTCGAGCCTCCCCCCACTTCTTCTACCACAGGTATTTCGTACTTCCATTCAGTGTACTATTAGTAATTACTCGTAGAAGGTTAGATGGAAATCGGTCACTAAATTGCAGCTGCGCATCTTACACCAAGATAAGAAGCACAACAAACTTCTAAGCCAAATAGAATCGCATCTCTCTCCCGCTCTCCCGAATTCGCAATGCTCGCTAATCTTCAACAAACAAACTAAGCAAACCCTCGAAACGGGGCAGGATCAACAACTAGCTGGCGCCCACTCACCATACTGGGGGTGTGAGGACTGCTTGGGCGAGTGGGGGGGAGAACCGCGTGGCCACCTCACCACCGACGATAGCTGCCTCACGATGTTATCTGCAATCAATGCCGCTACGAAGTGAGTAAAGCCCCCCGCAAAGAAAAATGAAGTAAGTAAAGCGGAGCGGAGAAAGCAAGATCGAATCCTGCATTTTGAAGAAATGAGCAATAAATGCTGGATGGATTGACCTGTGGGGGTGGCGAACGCATTCGCGTCGGACTGGAGGACGACGAAGAGGAGGAGCGCGTTGACGAAGAGGGAGAGCACCGGCATGGATCCCAACCTCATGGCGAGAATTTTTGGTGGCGCTGCCGCTTCTGGTGAACCTCGGGTTATAAAGCAGGGAGAAAGAAAGGGGAAAGCGAAAAGGAGCTTTACTGCTTTAGGCCTCGATAGCAAAGTATTTTCAAAGTATTCTGATAATATCAGACAATTTTCTAGTTACTGTAGTTTTAATTACTGTGACCTATTTGGTCACAAATAAAAACTGAGGTATTAAAATTAGAGTATTTCCAAAACCAAAGTATTTTCTCTGTCTAAAAAAGAACCCTGAACCTCTTTTTTTCAAAACATAGCAGGTGAAAAAACGAGCCCATCACACTTCGATCATTTTATTCTTCGATGACTGTTTGCAACAACTCACGTTGAGCCACCGTATTGCCTTCGAAGATGTCTCCGTCGGTGGATGACAACAGCGAAAACAAAGGGGTCTCCCTCTTCTTCTTCTTCTTCTTCTCCCACCTCTTGCATCGGTGATCGACCTTGACTTCTGCGGCCGCACCGATCCGTACTCTTGCCTGGCCACGGTGGCGGCGGAAGCTATTCTAAGAAGAAGCACATTATGGATTGTTGGAAGAAAGTGGCCATGTCGTGAAAGAAGGCCAAGCCGTTCATGCGCAGGTCCACCCATGATGATCAAGACGTCTACATCGTGTTGCTGAGCGTTCTAATAGGAAATCTACAAGCCTTGTGCATGTCGGTTCAGTTTATGCATATGAGCTAATACTAGTGTTTGCATGCGCCCAACTAGCTAGCTAACAGTTTGCATGCGCCCGGCTAGCTAGCTTTAAGAACACTCATGTTTTCAACGGCTAGCCAGCATTTTTTACGTTGTTACTCACGGCGCTAGCCAAACAGATCTTCTGTATTGTTGATACTTTAAAATACTTTGATATATAAAAACTGCAATATCTTGCACCAATAGGTTAATATACTTTAGTTTTCAATACTTGGGGTTGTACGAAACTTTATTATCAAATATAGCCTTAGGATAAGTTTGGCACCCCAGTATTTGTAGAGTTTTTTTTTCTAAAACCATGTTACGGACTTTGACTTTAAAAATATCCCAAAGCTTTACTCCTCAAACTTCACAATGTTTGGGATAAAAAATCATGGGGTTGACCTAACCAAATGTGACGCCTGCGACCTAACGAATGAGAAAATTTGGCCAGCGAATGGGCTTCGCTATTCGATGCTCGCCCCTACAAATAAAATTCAAAGCTCTCAATTTGATTTCAGCAATAATTTGACCATATGACCCTATACTTCCCTTCTGGATGTCCCTTGCTACTTGCTTTGAATCTGTGGCAATCATACAGCCATGGAGAAGAAGATTCTTGGTCAAAGATAATTCTACCCTGCAAGCAATTGTTTCGAGAGTAATCACATCTTGAACACCATGGATCACCAGTGCGGATGAGCCTAAATAAGTTTCATTTGAATCCTTGCGAACTGTTGCCACAAAAACTCATATACCTGATCTAGCAAGACCCGCATCTATGTGGATTTTGGCAAAACCTGACGGTGGCGCCGCCATACGAGTTGGACCCTGCCGCACCTCTGTCCCGTGATGTCGTTGTTTCGAGGCTTTTAGATAAATAACTCCAAACTCCGAAATGAAATTGAAGACGAACAGGTTCATAGATGGTGGGCTTTGAAATGCTCCATGCAGGGCCTTCCTTCTTGCCCACCATGTAGCCTATAGAGTTATAGCTAGTTTAACGAACACTTCATGGGACAGTGAATCCATCATTCCAAAAACTATTGTTTCACACTTGGTTCATTGGTTGCCATCATATGTTCTGCCAAATCATCGTCCACTAATTCCCAAATGTACCTCAACATCGAACACTCTAACAAAGAGTGACGGCATGAGTCCTCCATCCCACACAGACCACACGCGGGTGTTGTAGACATATTATAATGACACCATACATCCTCCGTGGGTAAAGAATTCTTGGCCAATCTCCATAAAAATATCCTTATCTTTCCTGGGACTTGTGTTTTCCACAATGATTTCCATGACGCCTCCTCCTATCCCAAGTTAGACGACCCAACTCTCTCCTCAAGCCAAGCTTCTATACGGTATTTAGTGGCAGTCATCACTCTATATGCCGACCAAACTGAAAATGCCCCATTCTTGTCATGATTCCATGCCCAAAAGTCGCTAATATTTCTTGTACACAAAGAAATATTCAATATAACCAGGACATCTATTGGAATAAATACCTCCTCGACCCGTGCTCTGTTCCACGTGGCAGTTGTGGGATCAATCAACTCTGATACACAATGAGGCAAGTCGGCAAGAACACATCCATAGGGCATCATCATCCTAGCTCTAGGTAACCAATTATGGCTCTAGATCTCTGTCATTTCCCCATCGCCTATCCGTCGAATCAATCCCTGGACTAGGATGTCCCTCCCTTCTAGTATAGCTCTCCAAACCTGAGATGGGTGGTTTCCTACTATTGCCTGCAATATAGACGATGAATGAAAATAAACAGACTTCAGAATTCTCGCAGTCAGGGTTTCAGGGTTTTGCAGGATGCGCGAAGCCTGCCTCGCCAGCAAAGCCAAATTAAAGAGCTCAAAATCATTAAAACCAAGGCCCCCACCCTTTCGGCTATGTCATCCCCTCCCATGATACCCAACTTGGCTTGCCTTGTCCATCTTTATTGCCCCACCAAAATTTCGTGATCAACATATTAAGGTGCTCACATAGCCCCCATGATATCTTAAAACAAGACATTGGATACATCGGAACCGCGTGAGAAACGAATTTAACCAGAACCGCCTTGCGCAGTGAACATGGTTTTCTCAATCCAACCCTGAACTTTACTCCATAAGCATTCATCAAGATACTTGAAAGTGGTACATCCTTTTCAGTGACACGGTAACAAAGCGGAAAGTACCCCCACACCTATTTCCCCAAAGGGATGACCTTGGGTTTTCGAACCTGCAAGAGGAAAGCTCCCTTGAAGCGATAGTCTCTAGCAAACTTTTGTCAAAGAAATAATTCCAGCTTTTGACCAGATCAGTCAAGCTAATTGTGATAAAATACTTGTAATAAAATAGATACGCATATGAGGTCTTGCTACCTCTTGAGCTTGCGTTGATTTTTCCCTTGAGGAGGAAAGGGTGATGCAGCAAAGTAGAGTAAGTATTTCCCTCAGCTTTTGAACCAAGGTATCAGTCTAGTAGGAGATAATGCAACAAGCCACCGAACGCCTGCACAAACAAACACCAACTTGCAGCCAACGCGATAAAGGGGTTGTCAATCCCTTCAGGTTTTTTGCAAAGTGAGATCTGATATAGATGGATAAATGGTAAAGTAATATTGTTGGTATTTTTGGTTTATGGAACGGAAAGTAAATATTGCAAAGAAAATAAATAGGAAACTAGAATTGTAGATTGAAAACTTATATGATGGAAAATAGACCCGGGGCCATAGGTTTCACTAGAGACTTCTCTCAAGATAGAAATTATTATGGTGGGTGAACAAATTACTGCCGAGCAATTATAGAAAAGCGCAAAGTTATGACGATATCTAAGGCAACGATCATGAATATAGGCATCACGTCCGTGTCAAGTAGACCAAAACGATTCTGCATCTACTACTATTACTCCACACATCGACCGCTATCCAGCATGCATCTAGAGTATTAAGTTCATAAAGAACGGAGTAATGCCTTAAGCAAGATGACATGATGTATAGGAATTAACTCAAACAGTATGATGAAAACCCCATCTTTTTATCCTCGATGGCAACAATACAATATGTGTCAGTTCCCCTTCTGTCACTAGGATCGAGCACCGCAAGATTGAACCCAAAGCTAAGCACTTCTCCCATTGCAAGACAAACCAATCTAGTTGGCCAAACCAAATCGATAGTTCAAAGAGACTTGCAAAGATATAAAATCATGCATATAAGAATTCAGAGAAGATTCAAATAATATGCATAGATAAGCTGATCATAAATCCACAATTCATCGGATCTCGGCAAACACACCGCAAAAGAGTATTACATCAAATAGATCTCCAAGAACATCGATGAGAACTTTGTATTGAGAATCAAAGAGAGAGAGAGAAGAAGCCATCTAGCTACTAGCTATGGACCCGTAGGTCTGTGGTAAACTACTCACGCTTCATCGGAGAGGCAATGGTGTTGATGTAGAAGCCCTCTGTGATCGAATCCCCCTCCGGCAGGATGCCAGAAAAGGCCCCTAATTGGGATCTCACGGGTACAGAAGGTTGCGGCGGTGAAAAAGTGGTTTCGTGGCTCCCCTCGAAGTTTTTGGGGTATTTGAGAATATATAGGAGGAAGATCTAGGTCAAGGGGTCACCGAGGGGCCCATAGGGTCGGGGGGCGCGTCCTACCCCCTGGGCGCGACCTCCACCCTTATGGCCGCCTCGTGGCTCTTCTGAATTGCACTCCAAGTCTCCTGGGTGTCTTCTGGTCCAAGAAAAATCATCGTGAAAGTTTATTTCATTTGGACTCTGTTTGGTATTCCTTTTCTGCGAGACTCTAAAACAAGGAAAAAACAGGAACTGGCACTGGGCTCTAGGTTAATAGGTCAGTCCCAAAAATCATATAAAATATCATATTAATGCATATGAAACATCCAAAATAGATAATATAATAGCATGGAACAATAAAAAATTATAGATACGTTGGAGACGTATCAGGCATCCCCAAGCTTAATTCCTGCTCGTCCTCGAGTAGGTAAATGATAAAAACAGAATTTTTGATGTGGAATACTACCTAACATATTTACCCATGTAATTATATTTATTGTGGCATGAATGTTCAGATCCGTAACATTCAAAAAAAGTTTAATATTGACATAAAAACAATAATACTTCAAGCATACTAACAAAACAATTATGTCTTCTCAAAATAACATGGCCAAAGAAAGCTTATCCCTACAAAATCATATAGTCTGGCTATGCTTCATCTTCATCACACAAAATGTTCAAATCATGCACAATGCCAATGAGAACCCAAGCAA